ACACAAGGCTTATGTAATATACAACAACAAGTACAAAAGGCTAATATCATATACAACAACAGGTAAACAAGGCTTATGTCATTTACAACAACAGGGACACAACGATTATGTAATATGCAATAACAGGTACACAAGGCTAATGAAATATACAATAACAGGTACACAAGGCTGATGTAATATACAACAACATGTACACAAGGCTAATATCATATACAACAACAGGTAAAAAAGGCTTATGTAATATACAACAACAGGTACACAAGGCTCATGTCATATACAACAATAGGTACACAATGATAATGTCATATACAACAACAGGTTATCAAGGCTCATGTCATATACAACAACATGTACACAAGTCTAATGCCATAAACAACAACAGGGACACAAGGCTTATGTCATATACAACAACAGATACACAGGGCTAATGTCATATACAACAACAGGCACACAAGGCTAATGGCATAGACAACAACAGGCACACAATGCTAATGTCATATACAACAACATGTACACAAGTCTAATGCCATAAACAACAACAGGGACACAAGGCTCACGTCATATACAACAACAGGTTATCAAGGCTCATGTCATATACAAGAACAGGCACACAAGGCTAATGGCATATACAACAACAGGCACACGAGGCTAATGGCATATACAACAACAGGAACACAAGGCTAATGTCATACAACAACAGGTAAACAAGGCTTATATCATATACAACAGCAGGGACACAAGGCTCATGTAATATACAACAACAGTTACACAAGGTTAATGGCATATAAAACAACAGGGACACGAGGCGAATGTCATATACAACAACAGGAACACAAGGCTAATGTAATATACAACAACAGTTACACAAGGTTAATGTCATATAAAACAACAGGGACACGAGGCGAATGTCATATACAACAACAGATGTACAAGGCAAATGCCTTCTATAACAACAGGTACACAAGGCTCATGTCATATACAAGAACAGGCACACAAGGCTAATTGCATATACAACAACGGGCACACAATGCTAATGTCATATGCAACAACAGGGACACAAGGCTCATGTCATATACAAGAACAGGCACACAAGGCTAATTTCATATACAACAACAGGTACACAAGGTTAATGTCCTACAATAACTGGTACACAAGGCTAATGTCCTACAATAACTGGTACACAAGGCCAATGTCATATACAACAACATGTACACAAGTCTAATGCCATAAACAACAACAGGGACACAAGGCTCACGTCATATACAACAACAGGTACACAAGGCTAATGTCCTACAATAACTGGTACACAAGGCTAATGTCATATACAACAACAGGGACACGAGGCTAATGTCATATACAACAACAGATACACAGGGCTAATGTCATATACAACAACAGGCACACAAGGCTAATTGCATATACAACAACAGGCACACAAAACTAATGGCATATACAACAACAGGGACACAAGGTTTATGTAATATACAACAACAGGTACACAGGGCTAATGTCATATACAACAACAGGTACACAAGGCTAATGGCATATACAACAACAGGCACACAATGCTAATGTCAAATACAACAACAGGGATACAAGGCTTATGTAATATACAACAAGAGGTACACAAAGCTAATGTCATATACAGCAACAGATACACAAGGCTTATGTCATATACAACAACAGGGACACAAGGCTTATAAAATATACAACAACAGGTACACAAAGCTAATGTCATATACATCAACAGGGACACAAGGCTAATGTCATATACAACAACATATACACAAGGCTTATGTAATATACAACAACAGGTACACAAAGCTAATGTCATATACAACAACAGGGACACAATGCTAATGTCATATACAACAACAGGCACACAATATTGTTAATATTGTTTATTCATACAAAAATATACCCGCATACACAGTATAGTAGTACAGGTTCAGAGACATATCAGAAAAGTGACATTTTCGAGTTATAGTAGGCCAATAATTCCTAAGAATTAGCCAAAGAGACTTTAAGAGTTTTGTTGATTTATTTCAGAGACAATTGTGTTTTAAGTGAGTGTTCAATAAGCAGAAACTTTGTTAAAGACTTTAATTCTAGTCAATTACTTGTTAAAGTGGTTTATATCTTAAAAAGGGGAGAGATGTAGTGTTCTACTATGATCGATACTTACTGTAGTGACACCTTACATACTTAACGTCTATAAGAGTTGTCGCCCTTGGCACACGAGATATTAGCCAATGGGTGTTAAGCAAGAGAGCAGCCATTAATAAATGTGGAGTTCCTAATTGAATTCGTCTGTGTTAAATCCTGTGGTTTAATCCGAAGATACCAACATAACATTGAACAAGATAATTTATAAAGAACTCGCGGTCTTTCACAAAAATTAAAGATATAGACCTTTGTTATTAAAGGTATCAGACAATTCAGTTTCATCACCGGGTCAATATAAGAATATGGAACAGCTTCACTCAAAGAGTTATACACTCAACTACAATTAAAGAATTTGAGGTCAATTTAGATGACACTTGGAAAATATACATATGAAATATGATCACTTGGAAAATTTATAAGTTTTCCATGTACGTAAAAATTGAATATAAATCTATTATATGTATATGTATTGTATCTCTGCCTGCGTCCATCTTTTTCCATATTAAATCCTAATAATAATGGGGAGAAAGTATAATATCAAGTTGACTCACGAGGTTCCCTAGTCATGGTTTCTTGTTCGGAGCTTCTCTAGAAAATGTGTAAAAGTCTACACACCTAAGTTCCGAGTATCCGACGCAAAGCTCGAGGACAAAATTTCCATAACATCTGATTGTTTTATATCGGTATAATGAAATATTTATTGCCTTTTAGCAGGGACAGTATATAGAGTCCACCCATTATACGTCCCTGCTTTTAGTAGGGAAACACAAGTCTTTGTTTCCCCGCCTCAATTCACCATGTGAAATATGGTTAATATCAAGAAAACAAACAATCCAACAAAGGCGATGTTTTGTGTCAGTATCATCACATGACCTTATCCCGTGGATTTTTCAAATGGGCACTTGTGAGGTATTGAATTCATGTGCAGTCAGCGCAATGTTCAACTCTTATGAAGCATTCGACACAAAGACAATCTATGGAATTCGTGGCGTCCAGTTAATTTCATATACACACTAAATTAACATCTACATGTCCGTAACAATTGTAACAATTAACAATAATATAAACTAACTGTTAAGCGTATAATCGAAAAGGCTGCTGATCATGAACGTTCCACGTTGATAAAGACATGCATTCTGCAGGCGACATTATTTCCGGAAACCAGACCGCGTTCGGGAGTTAGATAGCGTATTTTCGTTTCCGGTTTATAAAATATTGCTATTTTACTATGAGCCACTTGTAGGCCTATATAACACCGTTTTACCGATTTTTCAGTTGGACATACCATGCAAATTTTTCTCTGTGCGAATTATACAAGTGTGTTTGGAAATATGTCACCACAGCAAGACTCATATTGGCCAGAGGAGGAAACTTAACTCGAGATGTAGGTCACGGCCGGTTTTGTTTTTGTTTACAAAATCACACGAGTAACAGAAATCATTATGGTGCTGTTTGCTCTTGGCCAAATCGCCATCTGAAGTAGGTTAGTGCGGGAAATATCTGTTACTATCTTTTACAGAGACTTCACATACTGACAATGAGACATAAGGTATCAGTTTGTTATGAATCTGGTCTTTGGTCTGTTAGTTACAGAATTGCCCAGTAGTGTCGGTTGGCCAGTTTCTGAGCCCTTTAAGGATGACATTTGCCAAATAAACGATGAAAAGCAATGTGTAATCTTTAATTTCAACTGGAAAGTCAGTTCAATTACAATCACTAATTTCTTCACTCTATCATGAAATATTTTCAATCCTCTCGTAGTTGCACTTGAACGTGGCCTTTATGTGACCAAATTCTGTTCCCGTCGATAAAGCTGGGGTGAGGGTATCCAAAATGGAACACTTTTATTACAAATGATGCAGTATCCAAACAGACTGAAGTGTATCTGGAGAAAATGATTACTTATTCAGCGTTTGTATCTTCTACATTTTTGAATCATAACAAAATGTTTTGCATAGAATATACACTTACAATTTTTAATACTAAAAATAAAGAAGGGAATTAATACTAAAAATAAAGAAGGGAATTAACAGAAAGCATTTAAGGGCATAATACTTTTATGCGCTGCCCGCTGAATCACCAAACCACATGAGGGTTGCACAATTTTGGTAAGAAGACAATGATGAAATGTTTCATATTGATATCTTCAAAATGGTACCTTTTCCAGGTGCATATGTATTATTTTTTTAATCCAGTAAAATGTAAAAGAAGAAAAGTTATTTTCCTAATATTTTTGGTAGGATTGATTTACTTGTTTTTGCTTCATTTTCTTCAGCATCCTGTTAGACTTTGACTTAATGTTTACTTTCACTTCCCAAAAAACAGATGACGTCAAAAACTTTCAGCATGCACACTGCGATGTGCAAAATATCAGGGCACAGAAACTGGTCCTTATGATGATACTGCTATTAAGCTTGTTTAATTGTGTAGAGGGTTACTGGGTCCACTGGTAGACTTTGACTAAATGTTCACTTTCACTTCCAAAATGGGTCCATATTATAACAGGGAACCAGGTATCTTGGTTAGAATCTTCATCTATAGTTCCAAGCTTCTGTTACATTTGTAGCCCAACTGGATATACCCACAGAAGGTGGTATAAAGTCTGGTGTGTCGCCAGGATCAAACACTTGGCTAAAGGAGGGAGGAACGTAGCAAAAGTGGACTGGGTTAATCACTCAGGCGACCAGCTAGCTTGGTTGATTAGAGCATCCATCAAAAGTTTGGTCTTGCCATTAATTTTACTTTCCTGTTACACTTTTTATGTAGTAATTAGAGATCAACATTAACTCATTATATCAGTACTAATCACAAAGAGTGTACATATAAAAAATACAACCAAAGGGAGATAATTCACTATATTCTACCCAGTTAGTCCAGGTATTTTTGTACTAATATAATATGTACTTATATATAGCTTACAGATACAAATATAAAAAAAAATGCCTCAGAGACAATATGTACTTATATATAGCTTACAGATATAAATATAAAAAAAACTGCCTCAGAGACAGTATTATTCAACCCCTATGGGACAAGAAAATGATGAACAATCAGATTTGACCATTTTGTATGGTAATATTTCAGCATATAGTTGCATTGCTATCATTGCATTGAAGAAATATTGAACTATCGATATGGCTTAAAAGACTTTTCAAGTTGAAGATAATTTTAAGCTTTTGTTGCCTATAGAAATAGGAAAATTCTATATCAAGTGTAAGTTACTTAACTGTATGGCAATATTGGTTTACAGGAATGTTTGAAATATGGTACATGTATCTTTATATAATTTGCATACAAGACCAATGTTGCTTTTGCATAATTATCAACCTTCAGAGACAAGTCTGGATATAAAGTATTTTTGATCCAAAATTGAACTACATGAAGGTTAGATAAAAAGTGTGATCTGCTTCATATGTAATATTTTTTAGGTCACATGAGTTGGGTGACCCATTGTAACCGCCTTTAGTCCGTCAACATGCATCATGCAAAAAAAACCACCCCATCACATTTTTACTTCTCCTCAGAAACTGTCAGTCAGATTTTGATGAAACTTGATGATAATCATCAGCCTGAGGTGGAGATCAGAATGTGTATTTCAGATGGGGCTGACACCCCAGGAGGCTGAGTGGCTGCAGGGCCATGAAGGGTCAAAGAGTGCAAAACTTTTAAAAGACTTCTGTGAAACTTACTTGTGGATTTTCACCAACTTTTCATAAAATTATGCTTAGATGATGAGGATCAGAATTTATACTAAAGAAGGGGCTGACCCCCCAATAGGGCTCATAGAGGGGGATTTAGTATAAAACCTGAAAGCTTCAAACCACTTCTTTGAATAAACTTACAGGTGGACTTTATACTCTATATTCAGGGGTGGATCCAGAATTTTATAAGGGGGTGTCACCATTCCAGATTTCCAGCTGATTTTGCGACAAATGTGGTCTGAACCATGTCATTTTGCACAAAACTAAGGTAGAGAAGGGACATGTCTTGGCCCTTTACATTTTCAAGGGTCTCTATCAAAATCTTTCTTGAATTTTTTTCTTTTCTTGTTTTTTAGTAAAATGTCGGAGTGGAATGAACAATTAATGTATTCATTAAATTTTGTTAATGTTTTAAAAAAAGTTTCCTTGTTCGTTTTAATAAATATACTACTGTTACTACCTACTAGTTAACGTTTATCGTGCAAGAAAAAATTATCGGAATAGAATTTATATAAAATGAAAATGTCTTTATCGCCGACATAAAGTGGTACTGCCAGTGGGCAGAAAGGGATCACCTTTAAGTTAAGTAGTTCATATATTTGTAAAGGTAAATGCAATATATGTATTTAATTTTGGCGTTAAAATTATAAAGTTGCATGAATGATGAACGCTACCAATCATTAGATCAAATGCTTATTTACATGCATGTTTTTAATGTGCTAACGTCTTTTTACTGACATAACTTTTTCACAATGATTCCTGATTTTAAAGCATTAAAGTGTAATGTCAATTGTCCTTCTTGCAAACGCAACACCTGTGCCCTGTTGCTACTACAGACCACAAACCATACAGGTAAAAAGTCTATTTCATAGTTTGTTGACCCATTAAATTGATGCTGGTTGTGATATCAATTAGCTATATATATAGTGTCAACACCGAGTTTAAACCTGTTGAAGTGGGGTGGAAGGGTGTGTGGCTTGGACAGGCAGTGTAATACACAACTAGAATCACCAGTCAGGAAATAAGAAATAATTGAATATTAAATTCACACAATAGATGCATTATATACATATAATTTAATCTTGCTTGTAACAAGCATTTTCATTGGCTTAAAAATTTATGTTATCAGCCCATAACGTAAAAAATGACGCCGTCGTTTGTAACGTCGCTTTTGCTTGGCTGATACTGCAACACAATAATTTCTAAGAGAAAAGAGTCCATCAATGGAAATGGATTTCCACAGGGATTGTGTATAGTAGATTAAATTATAAGGATTAACTTGAATATATTTTCAGCCCACCATCATCTGATGGTGGGCTATTAAAATCACTCTGCGTCCGTGGGTCGTCGTCTGTCCTTAAACAATTCTTGTTATCAGTATTTCTCAAGAAGTACCAGAGGGATTTTTCTCAAATTTTATATGTAGGTTCCTCTTAGTCCTTAGCTGTGCAGGGCATTTCTTTGAGACTGATCGGATGAACAACATGGCCGACAGGCAGCCTCCTTGGATTTTGATAGTGAAAGTTTGTTATCGCTATTTCTCAAGAAGTACCAAAGGGATCTTTCACAAATTTTATATGTAGGTTCCCCTTGGCCCTGAGCTGTGCAGGGCAATTTTTGAGACTGATCGGATGAACAACATGGCCGACAGGCAGACATCTTGGATTTTGATATTGAAAGTTTGTTATCGCTATTTCTCAAGAAGTACCAGAGGAATCTTTCTCAAATTTTATATGTAGGTTCCCCTTGGCCCTGAGCTGTGCAGGGCAATTTTTGAGACTGATCGGATGAACAACATGGCCGACAGGCAGACATCTTGGATTTTGATATTGAAAGTTTGTTATCGCTATTTCTCAAGAAGTACCAGAGGAATCTTTCTCAAATTTTATATGTAGGTTCCCCTTGGCCCTGAGCTGTGCAGGGCAATTTTTGAGACTGATCGGATGAACAACATGGCCGACAGGCAGCCATCTTGGATTTTGATATTGAAAGTTTGTTATCGGTATTTCTCAATAAGTATTAGAGGGATCTCTCTCAAATTTTATATGTAGGTACCCCTTGGTCCTTAGCTGTGCAGGGCATTTTTTTGAGACTGATTGGATAAACAACATGGCCGACAGGCAGCCATCTTTGATTTTGATATTGAAAGTTTGTTATCGCTATTTCTCAAGAAGTATTGGAGGGATCTTTCTTAAATTTTATATGTAGGTTCCCCTTGGTCCTTAGCTGTGCAGGGCTATTTTGAGACTGATCGGATAAACAACATGGCCGACAGGCAGCCATCTTGGATTTTGATATTGAAAGTTTGTTATCGCTATTTCTCAAGAAGCACTAGGGGGATCTTTCTCAAATTCTATATGTAGGTTCCTCTTAGTCCTTAGCTGTGCAGGGCATTTTTTTGAGACTGATTGGATAAACAACATGGCCGACAGGCAGCCATCTTGGATTTTGATATTGAAAGTTTGATATCGCTATTTCTCAAGAAGCACTAGAGGGATCTTTCTTTAATTTTATATGTAGGCTCCCCATGGTCTATAGCTGTGCAGGGCAACTTTTGAGACTGATCGGATAAACAAAATGGCCGACAGGCAGCCATCTTGGATTTTGATATTGAAAGTTTGTTATCGCTATTTCTCAAGAAGCACTAGAGGGATCTTTCTTTAATTTTATATGTAGGTTCCCC